AGAGCAAAATATGCAATCGTCATTTATCAACTATTGCCTTTGAATAGTCTTATTTGTAATTATAAATTTACTCTTTATTTATTAGTTTATCTAGTCGATTGATAAGGCACGATCCATGAGCACCATTTAAACAACATCAATCCGACAGACGATTGAAACGACATGTGGATTCAGGAATGAGTTTGACTGACGGGACCGTCAAATCCCTTCAATGGAAAATTCATCGGTTCTAACAAATAAAACACATTAATTAGTGGTACCCAAACCCGGAATGAGAGGCTTCCAGTCCCACTACACTAGGTCGGCTTGCTTACCTAGTTAAAAATTAGAATCACAGTTCCTATCATCAGCATATTAGCAGCTGTATAATAAATAATATGGTGTCACGTGATCGTGAACAATTACATTTTTATGTTAAGTTATTAGTTCACAAATTACGTTTAAAACTAACAATGAAATGTAAATTCATTAGATCTGATTATGCTAGTAAAATGTTATATATATATATGTTATATAATGTTATATATACTACTATTAAAATTAAATTATGTCATTTGTAATGTTAATAAATTGTTTTGATAAATTATATAGTTCTTAAGTATTTTTCCCAGTTGTGTTTTATAGCAACTATGTTTATAATTAAATGAAGGACTAATCCTAATAGACAACTTGGACATGAACTATCTAATGAATTGTCATTGAGGTCCTCGTTGAATTGCACGCAAGACAATCATAAGTCGACCTCAAATAATTATATACCTAAAATATCGCGTTGAACGCAATCAAATTGGTCGGTAAAACCGTTAGCATATTTTCATTTTAGCTTCGATGTTAATATGAGAAGGTATGGTTTTTCCGATGATCCCTTTTGTTCATTGAACAGATTTTTTCATGTATAGTAACTCTATAGAACATGAAGAGGTACAAAATGATGTCTTAGCCGTAAAACATTTTTAAGGATGAGAAGAACAGAATTGTGTACGAAAAGGTACAAGTCAACACCTATAAAATATGCTTTCAAAATTGTCTTTAATTATGAAGGGACAAAAATATACACATGTTTACGAGTATATGGTAAACATATCTAATATACTAATACGAATTTTAAGTGGTATCGCGAGACGCACATTTTTCCTTAACCTCCAGTCCAAAAACATATGCTAACATATTATGATAAGAGTATATTACAAAAACTATAGCTGCTGTACAATATATCATTTTTTACGGTCGGTAAAAATGCATGTAAACGAGATTTGATGTTATAACTACTTGTGGATCCAACACCGCGATGCTTCCTAATAATATAAACGATATTTTTAGACAATATTGATCATACATATCACAATGCATGTGTACAGAGCAACAACAATAATGGTCCTACGCGGATATGTAATATTATAACATCATACAGGCACTTTTGTAAGGTCCATAGAACAACAGCACTGAAGACGTGTTAAGGCTGCTTTATTATTATTATATTTTTTAAACTATTATTTGGATTTGATTATGGCCGCGATCCAGAGTTAACGACAATGGACAACCGAGGAATGCGTTGTCGGATGTCAATGCAGATGAGCAGAAGTCGATTGACGTGTCTGATCTCGTCTTAAACGCAAGACGATCTGCTTACAGCAATTACTGTAATAATAATTCTGCTAAGCCTTAACACCTGTCCTAAATGTGTTAACTGTGTCAAAATATACTTTATACATTTTACATTTATCACCACTAAGCTGCAAGCCTGACTTTTCAAAGCATTTCAATCTATTTAGTTATATGAAATAATAAAATAGCACTTAATCAAATGTCTGTAAAATTATTATTAAAAATGCCCTTATACCTATACATTAGGTATGAAGTCGATACAACCATGTCAAATGTCTTATAACCAGAGTTTGGCACTCATAAAAGATATTTTGTAGCTTGACATAAAATCCATCAAGAGCGCTATGACCATTTATGTCATGTTACAACAATTTTTGAGTATAAAATTTAAAGTGTTTTAATTGCTCATTTTGTTGGTTTATGTAAAAAATGTGGTTTTGCTGATTTAATCAGTTCTAATTAGATATTTTCTACAATCTACTTTTAGACATTTTTTCCCCTCAGTCTGTATGCGATAAAAAAAAACTATAACTAATTTCACCTTTGTATTCTAATTCTTACAACAAGTAATAATAGTAATAGTATAGTAATGTTTGTCTTGTCTACTTGCCGCTGCCTGTGGGGCAATACAAATATTCCAACGCTGTAATAACGTTGCATATATTTCTTCAATTATAAAAAAAAAAATATATTATAATTGATTCCTCGTATACCGTTGATTTCAATGAGTAATAATATTATAGTATCATTGTTTATTATAGTCATCGATAATGTTAATGCATTTTTTACAATTGTTTTATTTAATTGTATAATAATATATTAACAACTTAGAATTAAAAGCTCTCGGTTAAAATTATAAATAAGCAATAATTTGAATTTTCTAAAAACACGTTTAAATGTGCCTCATTTGATTACAATTAACCCATTTAGCTTAAAGTATATTCAATTTAAATTATATTTATATTTTTTAAACTCGATATTCAAAGAAATGATTAAGTAACATAAAAGTATTTTATGGTACTACTAATAATAAAATTATACTATTATTAAAATTAATAAATTTATTATCTGTACATACAAAAAAAAAATGCAATAATTATTTTGTGTTAATTCAGTCTGATACACAATAATAATTTGAGCATATAATTGTAAAAATGTATAAAATAATTTATATAAAATATCGTTAATAAGACCATATTATTATGTACATAAAAAAATATATGTGAAATATAGTAACTAACGTTTGATTCAATACATAATAAATAAAATAATATCTAAAAACTATGAGTAAAAGAAAAACCGCATTAATATATATATATACAAAATATAAAACGACAACAATCTGACGAAGTCATTGAATTTAAAGGAAACAAGTTCGTTAGTATTTAAAAAATAAAAATGTTTTCCATACTTCATCTTATTTTATTCTTGAAACATTTGTTACAGCCGCGTGCACTTTTGACACCTGAAAATAAAAACATAACAATATGAGTGTGGATAAAAAATAGATGTAACTTTCTTGCACTATGACAACATGGTGAGACATTCGAGGTACTTAACACTCAATTAAGTTAAAAAAATACATATTTCGGCTTAGGAACTGAATAAATTTACTTTATGACATTACTAAATGTTACATATTTTATTTTTACTATAATGATGCCCATTAATTGTTATTTATGTAGGTACTGAACGGTTAACCCGTTTTTTAGTTGAAGGGTCAACAATTAAGTATAAAGCGACTGTTAGCACAGTTGGCACTGATTTGGTTAGTAGTATATGGTTAGTTAATAGCATTTAATTATTAAGTATAAACTATGTGGTTTGCACTATTATGAACCGTAAGTGGTTTTTCGGTCAGCAACCTTCTATAAACAATTGACCCAAGAACACTCAAATGACATTATTGATTGAAAAAACTAAAAAAAAAAACGTCAAACATATTATCATGTAATCGGTCTCGGGTTCTATCATAGTATTAAATATAAATATGTGGACAATGTGCGCTATAAAAATCGTTTAATGTCTTTCCTATATTTTTTAATAACAATATATTACGCTCTCGAAGCTTTGCGCGTGACAGCTTTGTTGTTACTAAAAAAAAAAAAAAACAATAATAAAAACCAATCTTTCGCCCAATAAGTGCCCGAATTTATGCAAAACGGAAACATTATTTGTATATAATATATATATTATATGTATATTTTATCATTATGTGTTTCCCTTAATTTATAAATTTGTCTAAACCGGTAAAAACCGTTGTACCGTTAGGGCACACTGCGTGAAATATTCACCGTGTATATAATATATTATAGAAGTAATATTACGGCCTTCACGCAGTTAATGTATTTGTATGGCACAAGCGGACACAACATATAGGTGTATAATAATAATAATAAAAAATAATAATAATAGCCAAGCCTCAGGATTAGCATTTTTTTTTAATACACGAGCCATTATGCGTAATATAATAATATTATTATTATGCACTATTCAGATAAGCACACACGTGTGCTGCTGTTGCACTTGTGTATTTATAGTATGGCAGATGAGTAAAAAAAAACTCATTAACTCCACAACGGTTACGGCGCTACTGTCTTAAGGCGATTGAAATCAGTCTGTTTTTTGACGTAAAAGCCTGACAAAATTACGCCTACACTTAGGGTGGTCCTACACTTCAAGTCTGTAAAAAGATTATTATTTAAATTGTTACTAATAAAACACAACATTGTGATAGGACAAAGCAAGTGAATTTGAAATATTAGACATTTTAAGAATTTATTGAGAAAACCTGAACATTATTTTAAATTGTATTTTTATGCTTACAAATTGATAAAACAAAAAAGATATGTAGAGGGATTGGTTGATTATGACCCAAGCGATGATGAGATGAACTATCATATTGTCAACGAGAATGTCACATTTATGTACTTTGATCACCAAAACAACACAATACTATTAACGGGATTACAATATTTACACTATCGCTTTCAGAAACATTATGGTAATAGCTTTATTTTTTAATCGAGAAACATTTCAAAGCCTTATTAGGAAGTAAGTTTTATTATTGTAATAAATGTACGATGCAAGATGTTCTTGGTCGCGACTGAGTGGGTAGGCTTTTTTATCACTGCGTTTTAAGTCATATATACCTCCGACCGCACGAGCAAAAAAAAAAAACGAAAATAAACGTGTTTCGATGCACAAAAAATAATATATATAAATAATAAACACACTGGATAGAAGACAACTAATTTTATCGTATACTATATTACAGTGTTGTACTTGAACGTGTCCACTCGGCGGCCGATGAGCACAGTTAAAAGCGATTTGTCACGGCGGGGGTCATCGTGTAGGCGAAAAAACGTAAAAAAACAGTACTTACGCGTAACGCCTTGTGTTTTTTTTTTTTTTGGACGGGGAGAGGTCACGCCACTGCGGCATCGGCATTCAGTCGTCGTTGCCGTAGTAAGTCTTGACGATTTTGTGGTACTGCGGTGGTTGTACCGCGCCGCTGTTTCTGCTCACTACGTAGAACCCGTTGGGCTTGCCGTTGTTGACGAACGACTTCTTGACGGGCTTGCCGGCCGCCTTGGGCTTGTAGTAAAGCGTCCGGCGCGGCACGATCTTGGACGCCGACGGCTCGAAGTCGGCGTACAGCACGTCGTTGCTCTTGTACCGGCCCTGTAGCGCCTTCTTCACCGTCGGCAGGTTCCAGTGGTACACCTTGGCCGGCTTGCCGTTGGACACAAAACCCACCGGAAGCGTGTTGACGTTGGCGCCGCCGCCGTTGGGCGAGTAGTGTTGCCTGAACTGTTGGCTCTCGTCGTAGAAGTACGCGTGGGGCGGCAACTTGACCATGAACATCTGCGAATCCATGCCACCCTTGCTGTTGGCCGCGTACTTGCTCCTCGACTGGCTGGCCAACCGTTTCCGGTGATGGTTTTCGTTGGTCCGCACCCGCTTCATTCCCAGCCGGTTCAGCAGCTTGGCGTTGTGCTGCTTGTGCGCCGCCGACTTGGACGTTTTCGTCGGCCGTTCCGGCTCGTCGGCGGCGGTCGCCTCTTCCGTCCGGTGTCGCTGAGCCGCCGTAACCCTGTTGTTGCCGCCGCCGCCGTCACCGCCGTCCTGCGCCACGGCCGTCATGGCCACCTCGTCGTCCTCTCCGGGACGTTCCTTCACGGGCGACGCTAACGCAAAGCCGGACGCCGCCACCAACACGGCCGCCACGAGCACGACCAGTTTACAGTTCATGTTGTCCTGTAAATTAAGAACAAACACAATATTAGCTAAATGTTTTAGACTTTAAGGCAAAATTTATGTTCGTCAACCATTGCCTTATGTGTAGCCTTAATGAAAAGCCGTAATAAGCCGTGCCTTTTTAACCTAACCGGCAATACATAACGTTTTACAATGACTCGTGTCATGTGCATACCGTATACACGCTGTCGGACGGGCAAGGAATAGGTACTTGGGACGTGTACAGTATAGATATATATATATTATACATTACGTGCACTATACACGGCGTAAGTGTGTGTCTGTGTGTGTTTTATGGTGCACAAAGCGTTGCAAAGTCGTATGGTTACGCTTCTTCCGCTCGTAACGGTTCAAATTATAATATTATTATCACAACGCTGTGTAATGCGACGATTGTTGACCCTGTCTGAGCATATAGCAGCTGCTGAGTGAGGAGGGTATTGACGACGACAAAGCTCTTCCAATGTTATTATGGCAACGGCGTACCCTCCCTTTTGCTCCGACAGAATACATCAACATAATATTGTAATGGGTAATCAGTTTTTTTTTGTTGCTTATCGAAATTTCTAGAATTGTTTTCCTACGGCATAGGACGGTCACACGCATTGTGGAAACGCAATGACTGATCCTTTGTACAATTATTTGAACGTCGCAACGCGCGCGCCCCTCGACAACTATTGAAGAAAACAAATGTAATATAATAATATGCTGAATAAATGTTTTCACAATGCCATCGGCGGATGTTATAACAATAATTTATTCGTGTCTCGTTCGAATGGAAACAACAAACGCAATATTGTGTACATTTCCCCGTAAAACGGTATTTGAATGCCGAGAAGAAACAAAAAATATAATTTTCTTTAAAAAAAAAAAAACACTTGGTTTTTAACGCGACTGCGGATCGGGCTGGGAAGGGTCCTTTACTGACCACAGTAAAGGGGTGAATGACTGTTATCTTTTCGATTAGGTGCTAGACAGTTAGTATTATATTCGAGTCATGAGCCAGGTGTGTGGGAAAACAATTTTTCTTTTAATTTTTCAGGCCACGTTTAAACGTTTACAGATAAGGGATTAAGGATAAGGATACAGCGAGGCCGCCCGTGTATAACTTTACACATTTTTCCAGACGTCAGAATACAAAGGGCCCTTATCCATACAATATTTATCAACCAATCCTTTGCGGATAAATGTTTGAAAAATATATTGGAGAAAACATTTATATGAAGCACATTATATACTTGATATATTTGATATGAGCACATTATCCATATTAATCTACTATAAAATTTCGTAAAAATCACTTATGATTCTAATCACGATTTCACATTATAATAGAGTATTTTTGTTTCGTTCATTCGACGTCAAATCTGTTGCCCAAATTATTTTTTACCAGCGCCCATCCGATAAGTTTACATCAACATAATAATATAATATAAATGTATAAAATTAATTGTGTGATCTATCAAAAGTGCAATGGCAGGCCGACATAGGTTTTAAACGAACGAAACATTAGTGTTATTTTCTTAAAAAATATATGCGGTATAAAACGTTTACCGTTATATTTTATACCGTGATCTGATCAAACGAAAGCCGGCGGCAGAGACGTCGCGTTATTGTGTTCATAAATCTTCGTTTTGACTTTTGTAAAAAAAATTTTTAAAATACTATAGTAGTAGAATCATTAATGTCTTAGGGTCGATCAGAGTAGACCTGTTGATATTATTTTTGTTACTAAAACGCGAGGCGACTACTGTTAACGGTACAATATTATTATAATAATACACGGCTTCCCAGGGGGCGCCCGAGCCATATAATAGCTATTAGCCTATAGATTTATAATTTATTAGCGAGCACTTTATAAATTGTATACATCAACACGCACGATACACAAATAACTACCGAGAAGGTATTTTTTTTTTAATATTAACCCGACCACCAGTCTATATTACATATTATATTATTGACCCGGCAGCCTCCCACGGGTCACGCGGGTCCGGTTATTACAACTATAGCCGTTATACGTTGTATTTATTATAATATAATATTAATGATCGATATAAGACAGACACGCCCATTTAGTCTAATTCTAGTCTTTACTAATAAAAAAAGTAAAAAAAAACGGCCGACGACCCAATATTATAATATGTATAATTAAAATAATTTTGTTTTTTTTTTTTTGCTCACCCACAACGCTTTCCAGTAAGGTCAGACGTGTAAACAACAAGCCGTGCAGGTATAGTATAACATATCTGATGAATGACGTATTAGCTGTTAAGTTTGCGTGCGGGTCACATTTCTGAATGGAAAGTACGGACAAGCGGTCATGATGGCGGCGACCGTGCAATTAAATGAAGAGTGAAAATGACATCTGCGGTGGAGAAGATGAGACTAATGGTAATTACATTCCAACGTCATAAACATAATATATATAGGCGAATATTGTAGAAGAAAAAAAATACAGAAAATTACTGTTTTTATAAAAATATTAAGTGTTACAATAATATTTAATTGGTTTTTTTTTTCATGAGAAAACGCTAAAGGAAAATGTGGCGCACGCAAGCCTCTTCGGCTATGACTTATCATAACGACGACAATGAGAAAACACACACTTATATTATATAGTTCAAATACACAAACGCGACGTCCGAGGTCTAGTGCGATGTTTCACATTTAACATGAACGAAAGTCACGGCCGTTTCGATGATAATTACACGAAAATATAATAATAATAACAACCTAACGACTGTGTAATTTTACTCAGGTCTGGTATACTTACGGGAAATGCTCGCACGCTTTCTACGGCTACTGTGAATAATATTCGATTTTTGAGTTGGCTCGACAATTTCTTATCGTTTTCTCAGAAATGACACCGGCTAGCATTGCACGACAATCAGACACCGTTGAGAAACGCTTACAGCTCATATGGCGAGGTAAAAAAAAATATATATATCACCCACCCAACGGCCAAAAAATAATTATTTCCAAGTATACATGGTATAGCATGAAAGCCTGCCAGACCAAATCAAATGTTGCTATCAAAAAAACGAGTTTGGAAAGTTCGGATCAAAAGTTTGGAATGGGGTGAATACAAAAAAAGTTGTGAAAAATTGAGATAACATTGTATAAAGACAGTATGAAAACAACAAATTAAACTTCTTATTAAATTCTATGAGATATTGAGTGGCCCGCGGTAAAAGAATCACCCTGTATATGATTTTGATGACCAAAATCTAATTGATCAATTCGTTATGTTTATCCATTTCATATGTATTACATTTTTAATTTGAAAATCATGTCGAGGGTCTTTTATACTTAATATTTTGGGACCGTTAACATATTTAGCCCGGGGCTGATTTGTATTCCCTGTCCGCCCAGTCTACACCTACCGACGTCTGACTGTGTACACATGAGCTGTAAGACGTATGTGCTTCAACTTTAAAGACCGCCTTTAAATGAACGCTAAACCGGCGCGCGGGGGATATGTGCAATAACATACTCGCAAAAGTAATGGACACTTTAATAATACAATAACACGAACGGACCCTCTCAATCATCTTGTCAGAGCCAAGACGTCACGTTTGTTTTATGAATAGGTATAATAACCCGGAGACAAAGTAGTAGTAGGTATGATATCTGTTATGTACACACTATGGTTATAACGGACACTCTTAGAGAACCGTGTGAAATCCGTTTTGTTCTAAACGCATGTATTCGAAAAGTAACATAATATTATTATGTGCGCCGGCGGATCGATTCGCAAAACTCGGATCGTTTCGACTGTGTGTATAGAATTCAATTGGCCCTTCGTGACGTGTCCTCTGGGCTCGAAACGTTTTCAAGACTTTACCAGTTATACATCTTATAAGGAACGGTGCGCGTTGTCCGGTCAATTAGTGTATTTTGTTGAAATTTCTGAGAATTTACCGAACGGCCATATAGAGTTCCGACCCCGTCCGCTTAGCATATACATATATAATAATAATAATAATAATAATAGGTTGTTTATGTTAATTTGCTTCGATCGCGATTTGAGCGTCTCCCATTAATCAGACGGGACTCGAAAAATTCCTCTGTACACCGTGTAGAACTGATGACGGTCGTTATTGTAACACAGTCGAAAGACAACCCTTGTAATATTTTTTTTCCAGGGGCCAAACGGTCGGGTTTGAACATCCAAAACAGGTAGAAACGCACAAATAGGGATGCGCAGACAGTTCTACAAGCAGGTTGCTTCTAGACCTATGCATACACTGTAATTATAATAATAATTGTCCGAACGTTATATCAGTTCTTGGGAAAAACCCGTACTCAACCGACCGGTGTTGTCTCTTGTGAGATACTGATCAAATGTGGTAGGTTATTCTTAGTGTACTGAACCTATAATATAATATGTCTTATGTACTTATTCTAGTTCGGTTTAATCTAGTCACTCCACACATTTTCACTTTGATACATCAAACATTATTTACTGACCGTACAACAGTTTTATACAATTTTCTTCGTATCCTAAATCCATCTTTCTGTTAAACAACACTCCAGTTGTCTCTTTCCATCTTCATCTAACCACACTTTATTCTCCGTGTATTGTTTAACTCTTTGATTATCTTGCATAACTGGTTTCGTATGAATGCGTTAAAACTTTCGTGGATTGATCTATCAACTGAGTGAGATTCGGATACATCCACGTCGAATGTTGTGTGCCAACAATTCGGACTCTTTGCAGAGTCCATCTCCGTATGGTCACGGCATTTGAACGCCAGTCGAGACCACTATTGCCCTGAAGATGGACTCTGCAAAGAGTCCGAAACGTTGGCACACAACATTCGACGTGGATATATCCGAAACTCACTCAGTTGGTTTCGTATAGTTTGCTATACTCCATTTACCTATTTTTTATTTAAACAATTAATCTTAAAGCTATTTCCGAGACCTAAACTTATATTCTATAATGATATTCTGTTTTAGACCTGCTCATACAGTATAGAAATACTCATACAGTT